TTCGCACACCACTACTTCAAAATTATTTGGAGAGAATAAGAGAAGTACTGAAGTATGCGCTGAAGATGTCACCCAGTAGGGTGATGAGAGCTTCGCAAATTAACCATTCAGCTCAGAGAACAAAACCACGTCAGAATAAGAGTTGCTTATTGGTTGCAAGAAAGGCCACATCATCAAGCTACTAAGGAAGACCGACTTACGCCCACTCTGCAAGAACTGGCGCGACAAATAAAATACTCAGTCCTGTCTTCCCTGGAAAGAATATAGGATGAACCGGAGACAGAATTCCGCCCCACGGAATGAAACAACCTGGATTGAGGAAAGGCAGATCATGTACTGATCAAACAACAACCTCAATTCCATCGAGTTCGAATAGGCCTTCGATAGAGAACGTTGACTGCGAAGTAATTTGGAAACCTCTTTAAGACTACAGCAGGTAGAGCATAAGTCTTTATCAAGCTCATTCAGTAGTTGTCTCTATGAGATTGGCCCGTATCAGGTGAACCAAAAAAGAAACCTCAGCGAGGCGTTCGAAGTACATACAGGAGTAAGACAAGGCTGACTGGCTGTCTACTATCACCCACGATGATGTTCTTAATTGTGCTCAACTTGATTATGCGTCAAACTGTGAGGAGTGGGGAGACGAGAATACGCTGGACCACCAATGGGAAGACTCCAGAAGATCTGAAATTCGCAGATAATATACGTCTCATTTGACGTAAACTCGAAAAATTTCAGACAGGTGACCAACTGTCTGAGGACGCTGGTAAAAGATGACAGGACTGTGCTTGAACATAAAATAGACGGTGATAAAGATTACCAACAAACAGCATCAACAAAAACAACCAGCACCAATCACCACCGACGGGAGAGATTTGACAGGGGTTAATTCCTTCAATTATCTAGGAATCATCGTCTCAACTTAAGGTAACACCACGGATAATGTTGTCACATATGGCCAATCGGAATCAGAAAGGCAATATACGCCTCCATAAACCTGTAACCAGTTCGGTAAACTTCTTCACGAACTCAGCCAGTATAAAGAAGAAGATTCCAATTTTTAATACAAATGTGAAGTCGGTCCGGCTATACGGCTAATAAATTTGCGCTGCGTGTCACAGAAATTATTAATCACAGTTTCTGAACTTTTATCAATAACTGCTATATTCGCTGGCTCAATAATGAAGACGGAATTAGCAACAACAAGCTCTCGCTGGGAAAAAACCAAGTAAAAGTCGATTGTTCAACAAATATTTAAGCGAAAATGAAGGTGGATTGGGTAATCACCACTGAGGAGGCCGTCGAATGAAATCACGCGCAGTGCAGGACACTGCTCAAATATAACCCAAATGTGTAGTGACGAGTGGGTCGTTCGTCCGAGAGTGACATGGAGGAGATCGTGTGGCAAAGATGAGATCAGATATTATGAACAGTCGTGGCCCTAGCCAGATGAGGAGGACAGCAGAGAATAGAAGAAAGTCGAGATGTGTTGTTAAAGCCCTATGTTCCACTCGGAACCCAAAGGAATAATAGTGTCATAATAATAGCAATATGCTTCGGATATAAGTAGAAACGATTACACACATGGATTGTAAGAATTCATTTTAACAGGTCAATAGTGAAGTTAGATCTTCTTGAATGAGGAAGTTGATGATAGGCTGTTTCACACACTATCAACAAAGTTTCAATAGCGCAATATTGAATAATTCACCGATGAAAGTACAAGTGAAGGTAAGCGGAAAAAAAAACTCACGCAATGGATCTAAAATAGCAAGTTTAAAATGATCAGAAAGCAACAATCGATGAACTGTGTTAACTTATAAGGAACATGTGGTAGAAATCTAATTTATTTCTTCGTTTGAACATCATTTGTGAGCTCTTCGTGAACCATATAACAAACTTCAAATGTAACGGTTGATTTAGATAGCAGAAGGTGTTTCTGTGAGATTGTCCGTTATTACGTTCACTGCTTACTGATCTAAACTTAACAATGTGGAACAGCTTTTCCTGTAGCTATATTACCTGGAATTATTGATTTATCGAACTGGAGAGAAGTTTAAACTTCTACCGATTATCTCACACGTTTAACCATTAAGTCAGATGTTTTTGAAGTGGAGAAATATTATTTAATCACTAAAAGACGTGAATTATTATAAAGCTTTCCGAATAGATACCAAAATGTGACTTTCTGAAGGCATTAGCTGGTGTGACCGGTATTTGAGGCAACTCCTAGTTGTTGTCATCAAAGCGAGCAATACGTTTTCCCTGACACACAGAATAATGTCAAATCTCATCTCGTTTATTACTAACTACAATACACGCCTTCACTTAATCAACTCAGGGGAATGTTCTCATTTGAAAACATATCAGATTGGATGAAACGGCTTTCTGCATATAAATTGCCCTTCCATTATCCAAAGGCTACATCCGAAAGTTTGCTTCCTCAAGGAATATGATATTCTATTGTACTGACATTTTACAGTTGTTGATGAAGAGGAGTTGATTGAAAGAGACTATGTTTATAAACAAGAGTGAATACGAAATGGCAAGTCGCTTAGATGTTTTATATGACTTTTGTGAATAGGGGTTCTGATATGTATCCATATATATATATGTATGGTGGTCTCTCTTTCTGTTTGCTCGCTTAGTCTGTGACCATTTCACTTTGATGAACCTGTCTCCTTTAGCAATGTATATTCTCCTTATATTATATTATATATAATATGAGTGTTTGTTGACAGTCCGTTGCTTGGTGACATACATCCATATTATATGTGTGTTTGTTGACATGTCTGCTATATTTTGCTTTGTATATATGGATCGACACTCCATTGTAATTAGCCATTCATGTTAAGACTGTCTATTGATTTGTTCACACACTTGTCTGGACATTCATATATATTTTGCTCTCGCACTATTGTGTGATATATTTGACTCTCCTTGTGTTTGGAAAATAGAAGTATCATCGCAAACCTAGCGGTCTTCTGACTTCCGCCTTCTTGCGTCAGGACTAATAAATTCTCAACCAGTCCATAACAATAATTTGTCGACGAGTACATAACAGGTTCCACCTTCACATCTGAATCAGTTAAGTAAACACACAACTAGCTGAAAGAGCATCCATGATTCATTCATAATTTTATTGTGTGAAGATTTCAAATCACAAACTTTACCTGGCCTCAAATTCAGTTCAGGCCCCCTCACTGAAATATACATTGAAGTAATAATTAGCAGTCATACAATATAAGTAACAGTGTCATGCAATTGATAAATTAGTACATAAACAAATCAATTCAGACATGGTTATAGTGGTAGCTGAACATCATTCATTCAGTTTTCATAGGCTATATTTCACGGCAAATAATATGAACAGTGACCATTGAAAGCATCCATTACCGAAACGTTTTCTAATGATTATCTATACATTACGGCACTTTAAGAATGTATTTGATCAGCATAAAGCTTGTTATTAAGAAAGTCTTCAGGCCCACCCTGCTTTCATTTTCTGTGGTTATATCTTTACTCGTATAATAATGAATCCGCCTTGATGTTGCATTTTTTTTGCAGTCGAAATTCTTCATTAACGAGAATTTTCAAATTTATCCTTTGAAGTTAGTCATCCCCAATGATATGATATTTGATATTTACAGCAATGAAATAAAATTTTATGACATTTGATGAATAGCGGTCACCTACTTGGTGGTGGTATTCCTGAATGATAAAACAATCAGTTTAAAAAAAAACTGAAATTGTGTACACGAATACGAGAAAAGTGATTCATTAGTGCTAAAATGACTATGAACAATATTTCATTGGGTATTTCCATATTTATTGTGTGGTGGGAGCTGGCTGAAAGCCAAGAACTGTAGACACCAATTTACGTCAAAGGTACATACCAAATCGTGGTCGTGAAGAAAAACAATAACAAAGCTTTACCCTGAGAAATTCATCTGCCAATCGCAGGAGACTTAACGTAAGTAAATACGATTCGTAGATATATGGCTTATCTATCTAAGAAACAGTCGGTCACAAGTAGTACAGAATAATCTTCAGGATGAAAACAACCAATCAGAAGACTTTTCTTCTCTGGTGACAGTAACACTGATAAGAATGTATATAAAAGTTTATAAATATCTGTCGATTTTCTCAATAAACGATCTGTTGCCTGGCCGTTGTCTTCTGTCATTCCATTTGGACAGCTGATACTTATCTGTTCCAAGTTTTGAAGTCTGAAGTGTACCAAATTCAAATCTCTGTGAAACAACTGAATACACTGATTTCAGAACTTGCGCCCAATTCACAACATAGTCATTCACCGGTGTGAGGAAGATGGTCGTCATGTGACATCAAAACTCTTCAGAATGCTACAGTCAGCAGTTTTATCATTTCAATAAAGCATAAACCTGTTCTTTCAGTATTAAGAGGATTATTTGAAGTATAGAGGAACAAACTGGAAGTCAAATAACGAATTAAGTCAAGTCAAAGTTCATCCATCTTTCTGCAACGACCAGTAAAATTGATCCAAGATACCTTTAGTTTTATTCATAAGACAATTACTGAACTTCTATATTTCAATCAGATGATATATATGGAGCATAATTCCATTATGGGTAAATTTTTGTTTTGATAAATTCTCACAGTGTTATACAGTAATGTTACTGTGAGACTTTGTCAAAACAAAATTTATCTATAATGGAATTATACTCTACCACAGTGCACAAGTTTTATTCTTATTGTCAGCCCCGTCTCCTAAACCGTTAATGCCCAGCTCTTGCTGCACTCGGGCTCACGCTGTTCCTTGAAGTTTCTCAGAAACGCTTAGTAATAACGGACGCAAAAACCAAAACACCAATTGGTGACTCGAGGATTCTTTATTGTAACACCAACATATAAACACTGTTACAACTAAGATTTCTGACGGTTTTCTGCTGACTTCTTTCTGAACAGCGACCGATGAGACGATGACTGTCGTATTGATGCCTCCGCGAAAATTGGGGAAGTTGGTTTTGAGCAAACAACCATGAATTGATCGTTTAATCTTCAACTACATTGACACTTATATAGGGAGCATAACAATGAGGATAAGGGTGGGAATAACACAATCTCACTGACACTTTGATAAAAGTTTCATGAAACTGAATGCGTGAACCGGCTTTATTCTGATAACTGCATTCTGACCACCGCTTCATAGAATATTATGCATCAAGTTATATTTGTCTGAACTTCTTACCATCTAGCTATACAAATAAATGACTCACTGATTTCACTTTCCACTTTTGCAACTTCTTTTACTAAACGATAAGTAAAACGTCATTGTGGGATAGACAAATTGCGACGAAAAACAAATTATGAAAGCAAGATAATAGCACAAGGATGCATGAAAATGTAGGAATATCATGTACCTATCAAACAGTATCAATAAATACTATTCAAGTATTGGTTTTGTAGGGATTTTGTTTGATTGGTTGAAGGATTTCATCATGAGCTGACGTCATTTAGATAACCACTGGAAAATCTGGGAGTACTGTACAAATGTTTCGTCCCAACTTCGGGCTCTTCATCAGTACACACCCATCATCAGAGTTTGAACACGCGACCTCCTGGTTACAAGGCGAGCTCTAACGTAGACCATTAGGCCACTGAGACCCGATCCAATGGCCAGCCCATGAATTCTAGCTTCTCCCAATTCATGACATATTGTGACCACTTTACAATGTCTTCTACGACTAGTTACTGCCTCACATTCAACCTGCTGTACTCTACTCGTTACGGCTTCTCACTAGGAATCCAGGTGAACTGCCTGAATAGGACCAGTTTCTAGTGAGCATTAGATCAATTTTCAAATACTAGTTTTGTAGGGATTTAATTTGATTGGGTGTATTGATTGTCTAACTGAGGTCAGCTCATGATGAAATCCTCCAACTAATACTATTCAGTATATATATATATATATATATATATATATATATATATATATTTCATCCACCAATATATATCAAACATTACCCGACACAGAGCAGATAAAATTAGTTTAACCTAACAAATTGAGTCAATCGACGTGGCATTCAACATTTTGTGGAAATTTTGAAATCCTTCTGAGGTATGTTATATTTTTCTGAACGGTAATGTGTTCTATTCGCTTGCTTAATATTACCTGCTTAGTCAATTCTACTTTGACATTAATATTCTTTTTGACGTACAAGCAGATAACTCACCAGGAGCCTTCACCCCTGTCGTTGCGTTAGTTGCTAAAACATGTTCAGAAATAATTGGTCAGATGCATCAAATATAAGCTGGAAATAATACAAATTGTGGACATTTGTGAACGTAAATGCTTACACCTGTAAAGCTCATCTGTGTACAGTTTGAATTGTGAAATCTTTAGTCCATTATTTTCATGCCGTGTAACCACAAAAATATTTGGGTAAAAATCTACTTCATTAACTTCTCACAAGAAGAAGTATCAAAGATAGGACATCAGTCAGGCGAATTTATATAGAACAGAGACGATGAAGAAGATTCCTGGCCAAAACCAATATAAGCAGCAACAAAAACACAGGGAGCAGTCAGCATAAATGGGAGAAATCTGATAGGTAAGCTTTCATTACTCTCAAGTCTGTGTGGAGATCAACAACAATCAGCATGAATAATAAGATCTGGATTTTCAACTCGAATGTGAAGTCAGTGCTAATTGATATACGATTCAGAGACTTGGAGCCGCGTCACGAATGGTACTTCAAACAAACTTCTGACAATCATCAACAGCTTTCTTCGCTCCGTACTACTCAAGATCAGATGGCCAACCAGAAAAGATCAGCAAATCAACCGGGAACCAGTTGTGCAACAAATATGCAGGGAGAAATGGAAATGGAATAGCAATACTTTGAGAAAACGAAGCATCAAGTGACATCAAATACCAGGAAATCGCTCCAGCGCAGCCCAAGTGGGAAGTGGCGAGTTAGTTGGTCGTCAGTGCTAGAGTGTGTTGACATGGAGGAGGTAATGTGAAGAGGAGATGAAAGCATGTGCGACACGTCGACCCAGGTGAAAAAGTTGTCGGATAACCAAATGCACTGAAGACATCAGGCTTAAGCCTTATATTTCTCTGCGATTTCAAGAAAAACTTTAAAAATTCGCATTTGTAATATTAGAACAAGACATATAAGCGAACAATATTGTTTTCAATTAGATCTTCTTCAGGCTTTACTCTAATTTACATAGACTTATATATATAAAATTTTTAACCAATGACGGTGATTTAGTGGATCAAATAATAATAGTAATCATAATAATAATAATAATAATGTTGTTAATGTTTTGAACGGAGTTAATAACGATGATTATAATAATAACAAAATATTGTTAATAAGGCTTATATAGGTGATAAGAATATCAAAGTTAGTATATGCATATATGTAGACAATTCAATAAATAAATAAATTAGGTCAAATCAAATGGAACGATAATCAGAGTTTAAATAAATATCATAAAAGTACGAAGTAGAGGGATGATAAGAAAGGGTGGGAGGGTTTTGAATAGAATTCACCTAGGCCAAGGGAGAGACAAAGGTAGAACAAATTTCTTTTGTATACAAAGACTAGGATTGTTCTCTCGAATTCCCATAGCTTCGGCTAAGTGTAAAAGACGGGTTCTGATTCCGTTCGAAAGACTTGATGGAATGCGGTAAATAACTTTGAAAGCACTATTTTTGTCCACTTGGTGACCACTATCAATCAAATGAGCCAAAATAGAACTTCGTATGGACTTTATTTGACCTTTTCCGAACCATGAAGGAAGATGCTCTTTAATGCGTTTGTTAAGCTGTCTAGTTGTTCGGCCTATATAGCTTTCTCCAGAGGAGCAACTAAATTTATAGATACACATGGAAGTGGCACAACTAGGTAACTTATCTTTCACTTGAGCAATCAAAATTGGCCGGCTGGAAAATGACAAACGGAGGGTGGCGGCAGTATAAGTCCGTTTTATCGCTCTCGATAATCTCTGATGTAAGACTTCACTAGCCACGTCCCCATTAAATTGCAGTTTCATGAAAAGTTGTTTCTTTTTAACTGTTATCGGTTTCTCTTTATTGTATTTAGCATTCATATGTCTCCTGACAAATCTACTAGGATAACCCATTTGGACTAACGTATTTTGGATGTATCCTAGCTCATTCTCTAGAGAGTCATCTGTACAGAAGCGTCTTGCTCTATTCCTCAGGCATCTGACCAAATTGATTTTGTAACGGATTGGTACATAACTGAGGAAATGTGTATATTGTCCTACAGATGTAGGTTTTCTATATGACTTCTACACCTGTTTAAAAATTTTAAAGGATATCAGTTTTCAACAAGAGTATCCATTAATATTTCGTTTTCTGTGCCCATAACATCAGCCGTGCAAATACACTGAATCCTCTTGAACATACACTTCACCAAGCTTCCTTATACTGTAATGGGCAGAAGCTGTGAAAACTGTAGCGGTAAATAATTCCCCAAAATTATTGACTACAGCAATCACTCATTGGATGCTGACCACCACTGTTTAAGTCGACTTGTTTAGCTGAAGGCTTCCGGTCAAGCATCCCCGCCATTTGGTACCTCGTCGTGTCACGTGCACGATCACTATCTAGCTAAGCGTTCGTCTAACGGCTTGTTTTGGCTCCTAAATATATCGCTTGGTTTGGACGATCAATTATTGGCTTTTGCTTTGTCTTTGGTACGCGAGAACAAATTAATTAGAAGTTGTTGAACGAGATATCCGTCAACCTCTAAAAAACTAAGGTATTGTCCTGTCCAAGTGGGCTTTCTGTAGATAGACCGTCGTATTGAGCCATCATCTCTTCGACTCAGAAGTATGTCTAAAAATGCTAGCTGGTTGCGACTTTCTTCCTCATATGTAAGACTAACATGATTTTGTACAGAGTTGAGTCTGTCTAATAGGCGACTCGCATCTTCATGATCGTCACATATCAAAATGATATCATCTACATATCTCCTATAGAAAGGCAATTTTGAAATTAAATCAAGGGATAAGTTTTCAACATAAGACATATACACGTCGGCTAACGAAGATGCGAGTCGCCTATTAGACAGACTCAACTCTGTACAAAATCATGTTAGTCTTACATATGAGGAAGAAAGTCGCAACCAGCTAGCATTTTTAGACATACTTCTGAGTCGAAGAGATGATGGCTCAATACGACGGTCTATCTACAGAAAGCCCACTTGGACAGGGCAATACCTTAGTATTCACAGCTTCTGCCCATTACAGTATAAGAGGGGCTTGGTGAAGTGTCTATTCAAGAGAATTCAGCGTATTTGCACGGCTGATGTTATGGACAGAGAAAACGAAATATTAATGGATACTCTTGTTGAAAACTGATATCCTTTAAAATTTTTAAACAGGTGTAGAAGTCAACTAGCCTCTAAACCTACATTCCATACCGTCCCTAAGAAAAAGGTTTTTATCGAATTACCATATAACGGGGAAATAAACAGTAGGATTGTGAGACAAAGATTGAATTCAATCATCCGTAGAATCTACTATGCAGCCCAGCTTGTAATTGTGGAAAAAGCTAAAAATATGCTTCACTGTAAACCCCAAAAGTGCACAAGTGATTATATCACATCCCATAGCATTTACCAATTTTCGTGTGTGTTTGGACATACATACATAGGGAGGAGTAATCGCGCTTTGCACGTGAGGGTGGGAGAGCACATCCCAAAATGGTTAGAAAAACAGATGAATTGTGACAAGCTAATAGATGCAGGTGGCAGACAACCAAATTCGTCTATAGCTAAACATCTAATCGAGATGAACCATAAGATTGATGTTAACTCAGCCTTTAAGGTCATCTATAAAAACGGTCAAGGGCGTTTATTGAAATACGCTGAGACTATAGCTATTCATAAACTTAAGCCCCCCTTGTGTATTCAAAAACAGTTTGTCATTACTCTTAACCTACCTTGGTAATCCTTATTTGATTGGATTACCAAACGTTAGTGTTAATTATTCTTAATTCTCTTTTATCACGTTGTTTAATTTATCTTTTCCATATATATTGACTTGACAAGTAAATGTGTGATCAGATTGTTCGAAATGTATAGCGCTAATACATCACATTTTTCAGACAGTCTCCGTCTTCTAATAACGCTGTCAAAATTTATAAAAGGGACTAATTGTTTTATATTATTATAATCATCGCTATTAACTTCGTTCAAAACATTTACCACAATATTATTACTATTATTATTATTATTATTACTATTATTATTTGATCCACTAAATCACCGTCATTGGTTGAAATTTTTTATACATAAGTCTATGTAAATTAGAGTAAAGCCTGAAGAAGATCTAATTGAAAACAATATTGTTCGCTTATATGTCTTGTCTAATTTAAAGAAAACATTAATAATAACTTCCACAAAAGATTAAATTCTTCAGAACAAGTGTAAGAAGATTTGAGTTAAAACATGAGCATATTTTATCATAAAACCTTCTATTTACCAGTATTACAATTATTTTACAAATAAGAATACATGCATCTCTTCCTCTTAAGCAGGTGTTTAATTTCTTATTCTCTCTTATTTGATGCCTTAATAGGTATTTTCTGTGAAGAAGAAAAGTCACTTGTAATAAATTTAACAGATGGTTCGAAAAGTTTCGGTTAGTTCCGGACTAGCGAGAAACATTCAGGGAGAATATTGAATGATAATTTTTAAAGAAGCATCAAAACGATTGAAATAAGTGAGTTAATTTCAATGAGTTCAAAACAGTTGAATGATGGCTACTCATTTAAGATGGGATTAGTAAAATCATGCCAGTGCATTTGAACATTTTGAGCGTAAAATACCTCATAGCAGTCGATTCAGTAAAATGAAGTAGCTTAGTATTTCTGTGTTATTTTGATAATGGTGAATGCAGTAACATTCAAATTATTATTTTTATGATCTCTATGATTTAATTTATTCTCAGTGAGAAACAAGAGAATTTTATGATCACATTTCTTTAATCCTGTGTGTACCTTAAGTTATCTGAAGCTGAAGAGTCGCATCGACATTACAGCTGTATATTTCACACCACAAATATTACTTTTCTTGCTTTCAAGAGGATCACGGTAACATAGAAGCAGGTAACTCACCATTACTGCCATCCTTTTTATTTGGTTGATCTTCTAAATATTATTTAAAAGAAAATGGATACATGTGACAAGTTTTTGGGTTGAGATAACGCATCACGCCTTTTGTCTTTTAAGGATAAATGTACAATAAAATGTGAATAATTTGTGTATAATTTGAATAGTGAAACTTGCATCAAATAATGACTCTCGAGGTATTTGACTACACAAACAGAAGAGCTTAATTAGAGTGTCATTCATATAGTTTCCAATGGTAACCAGTACGGTTGAACTAGCACATACAAATTTCACATTCTTAGAATCGGTATAAATAATAAAAATATTATTTTCTGATCAAACGAACCAAAGCTCACAACTCCTTGATTCAGCTGAGAGCACCGACAGATTAATGGTAATTATTGTCCAAGATCTTGATAAATCTGATTTTCTTTTTTCTTTTCTTCTTGTTCCCCAGTGGAACACAGAGCTTCAAGCTAGTAGCTTGAAGTTTCTGTAACAGTATTCATCTTACAGAATGATGTTGCTAGTCTCATGCAACTCTTTACTGGCATTATTTCTGACTTAGCGAGGTTACGGAGTGCATCGGCAGGGGATAGAACTCCGGACAATGCGCACGGTCGGAGGGCGTCCTAAACGCTATGCCACCGACGCACTGATAAATCTGATTAGAAATACATATTAAATAAGAAAACTATTTGGCGTGAAAATACTAAACAAAAAATACGGGAACATGGATGCAAGTAAATATCTGAAAGTCGACGCTTATGAGATAGTAGTAAGAGTACATCAATGCGTTAGTTAATATGGATGGATAAAGTCGGCTAATATAATAATCCATAACGTATACGGAGTATTTCGTCTAAGAAAGTTTAATTTGAACAAGGGCTAAGATCATTAGCGATTTCGTGTCTCAATCTAGTATACTTATGAATTCGGGTAACAACTCTGCAATTATTAATATCACGAGCATTGTTGAATCACGCATTGGCTGATGTCATAAAATCAGGCAAAGTTTAGATGAGAGAGGGAGAGAGACAGCGCACATGTATTGGCACGAAATTTAAACGAGTGGGACGGGAACTCGATTATAAATCAACGTTGTAAATAAACAAAAGTGTAAAAGTGATTGCATTAATAATTAATCAATTAACCAGTACACATAAAATATGATGGCTACTATGAACTCACTTGTATCCACAGTTTGTGTACCTGCATTGCTTGCTAAATGATAATTAAAAAACCTTCGTCAAATATAATCAGTGCATTATAATCATTTATGAAAACCAAGTGTTGGGTTTTGTCTAGACGAATAGTCATTTTGACGAGGTTATCACGAACAAGCGATTTTATGAATTAAAATCGTCACATGAAAAGAAAACAAAGAATTTCTCAGGACAGAAGCAGGGAATTCATGAAATTCCATCTTCATATGTAGATATATCTCAGAAACTAATGTCTGGTTCGTTATGTATATATAACAATATTTACTAAAATATTTTATGTGGCCCCCAACTGTGATACAATCAGTGGTGTAGTTGGAATAATGAAAACAGTGTCTATAAGATCTTGAAAACTTTGTATTTTATAAGATTGTGACTACCCTTCTGGAAACATTTGAATGGATTTGATGAAATACAATTGTCACTACTGTGATGGTACAACCAAGCCAAATGTTTCTTGATCAAAATATCACCACTTCGATATATTTCTGGGTATTTGAGACATAAGATAGTCCGCCTTACTAGCGGGTGATCCGCTGTTCGTGCTAACCACTTCAAGGACAGTCATATGGTTAACTTTCGTGTGTTCTGATGCTTAGCGCCGACCACATTGATGTTTCTTTTCAGTTTTTGAGGGAAAACTCAACATGATAAGCTGGAAAGATTTCAATAAGATGCAACTGTGAGTAATACTATTTGAAGACATTACTTAGTGAATAAAAGAAAACACACAAGATCGAATTGAGGCGTAATGGAAGATAATATTTTGATAGCTGAGATCTCAATTAAGCTGCAGTAGTTTGTATTCGGTAGACTAATTTGTAGAGAATTCCAATGATGTACTTAATACTCTCAAGGTGCATAATTAACAAACCACGATGATTTTCTTGAATTGCCGTGCAGCTTTTCTTTGGGTTGTGGGTATCAGTTAAGCTAAGCAGAAAACACTATTCAGGTGAAAGGACAATGACTCGCCAGCGATACCATTGGTTATTGGTCGCTGTATATTGTATGTGAGTTTGCAGAAGTCGGAATTCATGAACTGGCTGCTGGACGACATTCCAATGGCTTATGAATGGCTTATGAGCTAGCCTTGTATCTGGAAGGCTACGGATTCGAAACCCCTTAAGATGGGCGAGTAATGATAATGCGTCCTAAACAAGGACGAAACAGCTAGCTGCTCAGTACTGCTTGGTGGGTTTCCCAATGTTTCTTTAGCTGACGTCAGCTCATGATCATATCCAGTAACCAATCGACACCCTGCAAACCGACATCTGAATAATTATGATTAATTCGATAAATTGAATGATGCAACAAAATTAACAGGAATGATTAGGACTCATACGAAGATACAAGAGGGACTAGTTAGGACTTCTGTCATATGAAGCAGTCTGATAAATATTTAAATAAAAATGGTGAAAACTGCACTTATTCAGACCAACTTAGGTTAATTGTAGATGGAGTGAATGAACACGGAATTCATGATGTACCAGGTGGATTATTACAACCATTAAGTTTGGAAGTATTTTAGTTCGTACTTCTTTGTGTAGATGACCCTGAAATCAGTCTAATAGTTCTTTCGGTGTCCAGAAAAGAGTTGCCGCTATATGTACTGTTGAATCGCTTTTACTTAAGTTGTATGAAATCATATGTCAACCAGAGGTTAGGCCAGGGGGAAAAGACCGAAAAGCTGCTACCCTGACGTGGTGGTCGGGCTTGAACACCGCAATGACCTAATCAAGCTATACTGGCTGAGACTTATGTCTCTTGAGGTCTACCATGCCAGAAAGGTTGTTTGGATAGCGGTTAAACAAAAAGCAGCTACCCAATCCAACATCATGATACATAAAAAATTACAAAATTTCATGCCGGATCGGCCGTGGCCCGGATTAACAACGACCGCGCTTCCTGCTGCCGTGTCACAGGGCAGGAGTGATAAATATGCTACTGAGACACACCAAACAAGAGAACAAACAAAACAGGCCGCGTGTGACCGGCCTCAAGCAGTTGTCCCCTGGGCTCTGCGGTCACGCAACCAACTTCCACGGTGTGGGCAGCCGGGAAGTAACAATCGCCCTCACAATCCGAAATGCACACGAAACCTCTCTATTACTCACTCATCTTTGTCTTCATCTTCATCTCTATCATCTTGCCTTCCTTCCACTGATGCAACTCCTCGACTTGATAGCTCTCCACTTCCTCTCCACTCTGCGTCCACTAAAAACGATGGAAGCCAAAAAACCACCACCGACAGCCTCTTAAAGCCGCGCCACCAATTTCATATAGGAGCTTTTAATGTTAGGACACTTTGCCAAATAGGACAACAAGCATCACTAGCCAAGACCCTGGCATCACGAGCCATTGATGTATGTTGTGTTTCAGAAACACGCATACAAGACCCAAGTGTGGTTATTCACCTAACCCCACCTGGCCAACAGGTTGAATCTGCAAAATTCACCTTGAGGGTGTCAGGAGATGCCACAGCTAGTTCACGAGGATTAGCTGGCGTAGGGATAGCTTTGAGTACTAGGGCAGAAAAGACATTGCTTGACTGGATCCCGGTAGATAGCCGAATGTGTGCTGTCCGCCTGAACGGATCAGTAAGAAGGAGGAAGGACTGCACTACTCGCCGATGCCTTTTCGTAATCTCCGCCTACGCCCCCACTGACTGCAGTTCAGATGAAACGAAGGATGAGTTCTACCAAAAGCTGTCTAGTTTGGTGAGAAAGGCTAAACGCTCAGACATAGTCGTTCTAGCTGGTGACTTTAACGCTCAAGTAGGGAAATTGTGTCAATCTGAGAAGGATGTCGGTGGCACCTATGGAGCTCCGTGCCAGCGAACCGACAACGGTGACCGTCTCCTACAGTTCTGCTCTGATAATCATTTGTTTCTTGTAAGCACTAACTTCAAACACAAGGAGAGACACTGTTTGACTTGGAGACCCCCTTCATCAAACCAACGCTGGACACAAATAGACCACATAGCAATAAGCTATCGTTGGCGTGGGTCGGTAGGAGATTGTCGCTCCTTCTGGAACACGTGCGTAGATACCGACCATGCACTGGTCCGCGCTCGTGTGTGCTTACGACTGAACGGACGTAGGAAACAGCTGGCGGTAAAACCATCACGTCCCCAGCTCGATCAGGAAACTAAATCCGTATTTAAGGAAGAACTAGCTAAACACATATCTGTGTTCGACAGCTGTGCTCACCCTGAAGAAGCTTGGAAAAATATCCAGGCAGCCATAGATACAGCTGTAAAAGCTGTGAATAAGGTAAACCCAAAGGTGAGTAAAAACCACTGGATCTCCACCGCCTCATCCGAACTGATAGATGCTAGAAGACTTATTCCGGCGAGCTCCGAATTCAATGAGGAGCGAAAGCTGCACAAGAGGAAACTTACGAAAAGTCTCCGCAAGGACCGTGAACAGTGGTGGGCGACAAAAGCCAAAGAGATGGAGAAAGCTTCGAGGATAGGCAACACCAGGCAACTCTTTAGACTCATCAGGGAAACGGGTGGGAGAAGACAAATCATCAGTGAGACAATCTCGGAAAAAAATGGCACTATAATTAGCTCACAGGATAGACGACTGGATCGTTGGAAAGAGCATTATGAGGAGCAGTTTAATTTGCCCACAGCCACGCTCAACCTTCCGAGCATCCAACACCTCCCTGAATGGGATATAGACACAGGTCCTCCGTCCTTAACTGAGGTTACTAAAGCTGTCACCAATCTGAAACTAGGCAAAGCAGCGGGACCTGATGGAATGACTCCAGAGGTATTTAAGTACGGTGGAGACAGCTTACTGTCTGCATTAACTGAGGTACTAGGCAGCGTCTGGGAATCAGAAGAAGTCCCATCGGGTTGGTGTAAGTCACTGATTATCCCCATATACAAGAAGGGAGACAAGTCTTCCTGTGATAATCACAGAGGGATTAGCTTGACTAATATAGTATCTAAAGTCTTAGGCTCAATAATCATGCGTAGACTAAGTGGTGCTCGGGAGGAACAAACACGAGAGAGCCAGGCAGGCTTTAGACCAGGAAGAGGGTGTATTGATCATATCTTCACCCTCCGACAGATTCTAGAACATAGGAATTCCTACCGGCGTCCAACAGTCATTATATTTCTTGACCTAAAGGCAGCATTCGACTCTGTCGATCGAGAGGTTCTCTGGAGATGCTTGGCTGTAAAGGGAATTCCGAGAAAATGCATTTCACTGATTAAGGCACTCTACTCGTACTCATACAGCCAGGTGAGGCCTTACGGCGAGCTGTCATCTGAACTGGTGACGACCAGTGGTGTCCGTCAAGGATGCCCATTATCCCCATTTCTATTCAACTTCATCATAGATGTGTTAATGGACTTAACCCTAAGTGACTTCAGCGACTCAGGGATTGACTTGCTACCAGGGAGGGAATAATCTCGTTGACTTGGAATATGCAGACGATATAGTCCTTCTAGGCGAGGACGCTGAAAAAATGCAGAGTCTTCTAAACACCTTGAGCTGCAATCTACAAACGTTTGGCATGCGATTCGCTCCCGCCAAATGTAAGATGACGTTGCAGGACTGGACTTCACCGACTCCTAGTTTAGAAATAAGAAGTGAAGTAGTAGAACACGTTGACCGCTTCTTTTATTCGTGAAGAACCATCAGCCAGTGCCAACGGGTTGATCTCTGACGAAATCTCAGCACGAACACAGGGGGCTCGTTTCGCACTTACCAGTTTACGCCGTCTCTGGCGTAGACGAGATATCCGACTGGCTATCGACCAAAGGGTGGCTGTAATGCTCAGTCCACTCCGTCCTCCTTTACGGCTGTGAGACCTGGCCATTGAGAGTGGAAGACATGACAAGCCTTATTAGCTGTCTTTGATCATAGGTGCCTGTGTTCTATCTCCCGTGTGAAGTGGCATAATAAGGTGACCAATATTGAGGTTAGGCGTCGAGTTCTAGGTAAACAGAGGAAATCAATCGACGAAGTCGTGAAGTTAGATAGACTGAGATGGTTAGGGCATGTGTTTCGTAGCCATTACTAGTCATCGCCTTCCTCGACGAGCAATGTTAGCTGACATAGGGTCAGGCTGGAAAAAAGCTAGCAGAGGTCAAACAAAAACTTGGCACCAGTCAATGAAATCCACAACAGTGGCTCTAAGCCAGTCATGTAGGAAGGAGTAGACTTCCAGGCTGGGGTCCTCGGGACGGTAAAAGCCAATGGCAGGAAACAATTGGTGATATGGCCCAAAATCATTTTCAATGGCTGGCGAAGATGCATCCACTCCTTGTGACTTATGATTTCCAACGAAACTGTTTTGTTCTTCGTTATTACTCTTCCTTTGTCTCACACCTCTGCTTACTGTCTCTAATATTCATTTCTCCTACTTTCTTCTCTTCCTTCGTGTGGTACATGGAGTGTGGGTACTTGAACTGCCACATATACGTGCAAAGTTCTATGTCGGAAACAGACAGAGACAGACAGACAGGCCAGAGGGTATATATTCATAGGAAATTTAAAGTGAGCGGAAGAGGCACTCGGTTATAAAATAACAATTCAAATCAGTACATTAATAATTTAAAAAGTACATATAAAACATGATAACTACTTCGAACTCACTAGTAGCTGCAGCCGGCTTTGGTGGACTTTTTGCTAAATGATAGTTAAAACACTTTAGTCAGATACGATGAATGTTAGCTTAAAATAGTATATAACACGGATTTGACTACAAGCATAGATGCGCCAACATGAGGAATTTTTTGACCAGAAGTTTTCAATTAAATCTGCATTTATTATTTGAAGTAGAACTACGTGACCATATAAGTAAATATCAGTTTCGTAATTCTTGAGAGCAACAGGATAAACGAATTGCAGTTTAAAATGCGCATATTTCATTCTAAAGCTTCCTTTAGCTAAACACAACACAAAATGTACACACAGGATTTACGAAGTCAGAGTACATAATGTTTCTCGTTTTTCACTAAGCAGAAAGTGTTGTATTACATTATTATTGCTTCCTTCAATTCCTAGAGCTTACCTTGCTTTCCCGATGCTCGGTACCTTCATATCCTCATCAATTCCGTCCGCCTGTAGTTGAAACGATGTTTTCCTGGTAGGTAGGTTGGTAAAGGAGGCTGCTTCATTCAGATTTCTCCCATTGATGCTGCTTACTGATTCTGCTGTTGCTGTTGGCCAGGGGTCTTAAAGAGAAGGATGGCTAGCTGCTTACTGTCTCCAATGATTTTCTTGATCGATGGTGGCAGACTAAATAATGCGACAGAGAGAAAGAAATGAGGAGACAGACATAAAATGTACTTCCACAAAGTCTTGGAGGGTCTGGACGTCGCCGATTATATCTTACCGGTTTCCCACAAACTAGACGATATGCAAGTGAAAAGCGACAAGTCGCCAGAAGAAGCAATCTCAGAAGACAGGACTTCCTTCGGGTGAATATTGAGGAAGTTGAGGTAGTTGATGAAGCTCCCTGGCCAACAGCAACAGCAACAACACCAACAGACAACAAGCAGCATCAATGGGAGAAATCTGAATGAAGCAGCCTCTTATACCAATCTACCTACCAGGAAGCATCGTTTCAACTACAGGCGGACGGAACTGATGAGGATATCAAGGCATCCAGCATCGAGAAAGCATGGCAATCTCTCGGTACTCTCAGGTCTGTGTGGAGATCAACATTACTCCACTTGAAAATGAAAATGAGATCCGTATGTTCAACTCAAATGTGAAGTCAGTGCTACTTAATATGCGGATAAGGGATTTGATCAGCTCCTTACGAAGGGCACTTCAAACAAACCACACACCTCCATCAACAGCTACCTAACTTTGCCCAATACTATGCAATGTCAGATGGACGTTCAGAAAAGTTCAGCAACATGGATCTCAGGAAACCAACCAACCAACCGACCCAGCAGGAACCGACTGTGCAACAAATATGAAGTAGTAAATGCAAGTGGATTACCATACTCTGAGAAAACAAACCGAGTGGAACGCGAATGCGACGCGGAGAGTCGCCGTCAGTGCGAGTGTGACATGTTGGAAGTGATGTGCAGAGGAGAGGAAAGCATGTGGGCAGACGTGTAGCCAGATGAAGAAAATGTCAGAGATTCGAACACAATGAAGAGGTGTAGCTGAAGCCATGTGTTCCTCTAGGAACTAAAGGAAACAATGATAATATTGATTTCTTACTCGCACTATTTAGCCACAGAAGTGCAAAACGTACCAGCATTCTGACTTGGTAGTGGTGGGCCGTGTGCTATAAGATGATTACAATAATTCGTAAAGTGTTTGTTATTTAAATATTGACTCCTATTTTATAAGCATAAATGAATATATGGGTGATTTACTTGTAGTGAATTCGAGTGGTGAAATTCTCGTCAGTGTGTGTGGTTACACAGATATATAGGAAGGCATAATCTTCACTAGTTCTTTGATTAATTCCTTTAAATCTGATGACTAAATCGTGAATACTATTTACCAATCTTCACATTCCTTTCTTTATTTCATTTTACTTATTAGACTCAGACTTACGTATTATTCCACAATTTATGTCACTCATATTGTTATAACACCGTAACACAGTCTCAGGTCGCTTAGTTGTAGAATAACAGATTACATAAGTTGAACATACAGCGATGTTGTATTAATAATTAGGAGACGCATGCAGTGTAACGTACTGCACATAATCCTGTTACATAACATCTTAACTGCAATTATACCGGCTTATTCGCTTAAGTGGGTTCCAATGAGTTTTTCAGTCGATTAGGGATAGGTATTGTGCTATTACTTGTACCAGTGTATTAACTGTGAACTGACTGAAGAAGGATTTGATTTAATGCTTTTACATACGAGTGGATATATTGCGAACGCCGTCTACGTCAACCCTAACCGTTTTATTAAATTGATATCGTATAAGTTTCCAGTTTCCACAACCAAGTTGCTGATTCATTCATTTCGAAAGTTGAGGGGGATGACATATTTCCATAAATTCTGGATAATTGATGAATCACGAAATGAGAGTCATTGTCAGCTGAATAAAGTGTTCACTATAATTTATGTGAGCAATCAGGAGGTTATTATTGAAATTCAAGAAGTTATCTCCACAATACTCCATTTTTCGTCAAAAAACGAAATGACATAGTAACTGGTTAGTGTATAGTGTGATATATGGGAAGCTATTTATACCGCTGTCTAGTTAGGGCCGATTGTTCAGCTTTCACCAAACAACAAAGTGTGTACAATTATAATGAGCTATTTGTCTTCCATGAAATGGTTTTCAAGTTCTGAATACATGCTAACATTTAAATCCAATAAAATGACTTCACAGTGTTATGAATAAACATTTCCATGAATAACTTTGTTTATCAAAATGTGTGCTTATGTAAGTGTCGGGTACTTACGCAATATAACGACTGAAAGAATAAGTCAGGGAAAAAGTCAAAGTTGTGTGTTCTATTTATCGATGGGTACGCAATAAGTCATTGTGAAAATAGAAGAATACACGTATGACTGGAATTTCTCTAACCACGACTTAATATCTTACGAACTATAATGGTATGGAGACCAGTCATATTGTTTTGTGTATTATATACACATGTATACGTATAGAGAGAGAGAGAGATTAACAATACTTACGGACAGCTAAAATGGTAAAATAAATACGACAAGAATATACTAGAGAAATAATATTTACATGAAAGTTAGTTAGAAGTTCTCAAAACTTCACGATGAATAAGATAAAATACCTCTGTGCCATCTCAATAGAAATCACCAACCATTAATTCTTACCATTGTGAAGATCCTTACCAGACAGTTTAAACATCATAACATGCGCTGAGTCAACAGTCTTAGGTTGTCGCCGTAATTCTATGCCACCAATCTGTACTATTTTCCAAACTTATGCTTGCCCTTCTGGTCGAGGAAGACAATTATTCGGTATGTGTAACGCATGTAGAAACGATTAAATATTCCTCCTCAAGGCTTAGCCTCATCATCATTCACCATACTACACTGTCAAACACAAGAGACACAATATAGATACTTGATGTCAAAAACCACTTGTCTTTCCAAACTGAGATTGCATCAATATAATCAAAGCAAACATTAAAAGTAAAAATTAATACGTTATAGATTGACAAACAAAATCATAAAGGTATTTACTTGGCACTCTTTGGACATTACACGATACGACGCCGATCAATAATAAACATAACACACATAGCATTCTGCAGAAAATCAAGTCAATAAATTGTGCTGCTTTCATTATTCCTTAAATATAGATTAACCTGTCTAGACACCTGGAATCTGATTTGATAAATTATGAATTTGAAAAGTGCGAGCGAATGACTGACAGGTAGAAACTCCCAATGGTGTTATTAGTTTAAGTAAGTGATTACTCGAATTGAAAACAAGTAGAGATAGCATATTTGCTTTTACTGGCATAAATATAAAATACTGATAAAAGTAGTATATCGATTATTAGTGAAATTAGAAGTTGAAATGAATCATTGGATGTCTAACATGCTAATGAAATCATCAGGTTTAAATCATACCTAGAAATGACAGGTTGTTTCAACTGAGAACCCAAACTATTATAAACATCAATTCATAGCAAATGGATTCGAATAAAATTAATGTAAGCTCACTAGTGACTTGCCAGAGGATGGAGTTTCTTGGAGTCCTAGCGAGAAGTCATAACCAGTGAGGTTCAAACAGTCAAGTGTTAAGATCGATTTCTCATCAATGATATTGGTTGGTGGTCGAGCTAAATCAAGAATTGGTAGAAGTTAGAATTCACGCACTGGGATGCTATTGAATCAGGGGATGCCCAGTGGCTGAATGGTATACGATCTAGCTTGACTTGCAACCGGAGGGACCTGCGTTCGAACCTTCGAGGTGAGGGAGTACTGTAGATGATTTCCAAACTAAGATGAATCAGATGCCCACTAATCCCTGCTTAGTGTCAATGGTTCTCTAACTGATATCATTCCGTGGTCAAACTCGTAAAAATAAATTGAAACCGTAAAAGCCAACAAGTGAAAAAACAAAAAATGTAATCAATAAAGCTACTCATCCAACTTAGTAAATCTCCTAAACTAAGTAAAGAACGCAGTATAACACAGTAGAAGTAATTACGGTGAATGTATGTTTGTAGCCCTGTGCGATTATCTACTCGATAAACAAAATTTACCGTCGGAATAGCAATATTTTTTTGATTACAGCTTGATTCCACACTGTATTTTCGGTACAAGTATGGAATTTTCAGCATGGATATCGTTAGCCCAAATTTTGCAGGCCGACCATAGATATCAGGTGTGCGTCGGCGTTAGCTCGAACCTCAGACCATGTGCATGGTCGGCGAGAGTCCTAACCACTGTGCCACCGACGCATATAGTGATATTAGATGTTTTGAGGCAATCAGCAGGAAGCCTTTATCCACCTAGGTTTCGTGCTAGTTCGCACTCACAAGTCAGCGAGGAGTATCTGCAACCCTGAAGGCACTCATGTCCCTTCCGGGATTCGAACTTGCACTGACCATCCAATATCGTCAAATCAATGCACATAGTCATAGCGAGTTAACTAGAATGAAGACCACATTGCAAACCTGACTGATAAAATTCAGTCTGTAACAAAGAAAGGACTAGATACATCACACTAGTTAATAGTGTCCAGTCAAAATTACAGATACTGTCATGTTGGAGATAAAGCAAGTTGTCATCCCCTTCATCGATTCCATAACGAACTGATTTCATTGAAATGACCAGGTGCAAGAATTAAGGAGTTCTATGACTTTGTGATGCATAGTGCTGGTCACATATGGAGAGTTGAAGCATGGAATATCTAGAAAGTATGTACAGCAGAAGGAACTTCTGTGACAGTTTCTTTAAAGCGAAATTTTTTTTATCGGAATAATGTGTAACGGTTGACAGTAACATTTAAGTTAAAATAGTTCCACTATTTTTGCGTAAAAGGATACTTGTTTCTTGTGTTTACTGGTTGAATAAGGAAGAAAGCAAAATAATTTTCCCTGTAGCTATCATCTAATCACGATTTGTACATCCAGAGTACTTATGGTATATGGAATATATTTCGAGCAAACAATACGAGGACAAATAAGTTTTGAAATAATACCGTATACTGAAAATATTATTAGTGTTATTTTGAGGTATTTGTGTTCTCTGAGCTAGCTGGATAGTTATTTATTGCAAAGCTTTCATTACCCCACTAGACAACGTCTTCAGCGGCTACTCAAATTTGAAGTAGGCTTTTACATTATGAGACATTTATCCTGGTGACCACCTGAGCTACAAATTGTTTCAATCATTATTAGTGTTATACTGTAATAGTGACCTTCAACAGCATATCTTCACCTGCTCCTGCTTTCTCTCTCTCTCTCTCTGAAGTGTTCTTCAGATACCTTTGCGATTCTCCATAGTCTTTCACCTATTCTTCACAGGATCTCCTCAGTGTCACACTCTGATCAGCGCCCAACTCCTCGCTTCCTATTCGGCTTCCAATCGAGTAATGGAATGGTGCGCAATGCGAACCACACATCTCTTCAGCATATATCCAAATCGTTTCCATTTTCTATGGAATATTTTCGAGCAACAGGCTCTTGATTGGTTCGTTCCCGTTGTGTTTGGTTGCCGATGTTTTCAGACCATCGAATCTCCACTAAAGAGCCAGAGAAGGTAGATTTTGACAGAATTCTGCAGCAGCCTGTTGGAAATGATTTTCGTAAAGTGTGGGCCAAGTTCCAGGCGCACATAGAAAAACAGACTTAACATTATGGTTTAAAATCCGAATTCTCTGAATTTATGTTACAGCGTGCACAATATTTTCGAACTAAATTCACAGTTATGAATTTGAGTTCAACAAGTTAATTCGCAGCTTACAGAGATCTAGGTGACTATTCGATAACAGTTTCTCGGAGAAACCAAAATTGTTCGAATCATAGTACGCTATTTTCTTGATATCAATTATAGTATCTGAAACACTAAGCATAAATGTATAGCACTTTATACTGCTGATTGACTGAAGTGATTAGTCTTACACTACTCACACCAACAAGTATTTCTGGTCGGTTTTTCAGGTCGATATGATCTAATCACCAGATGGCCATCGCTCTTGTCTAGAGGCAAGCTCACCAGTGACTTACTGGGATCTGATACATGATAAGCTTCGATTAAGTTGTGTTCAACCTTGGCTAGATTACTAGCTCGCTAGTTTACTTGCCGGTCCCAGACCCGGATAAAGAGGGAGGGTTGAGGCGTGGTGCTAGCAACTCCACCCCCGTAAAACAATCGAATCGCTACAGAAACTTCAACAAATAAATATATTAAAAATTCTAAAGCCATAAGCAATAGCCTTACTTTTCGCTGGAATCGGGGAAGTGAAATGACGCAGGCTGGTGAAAACTAGCCTTCAGGAAGCCAGTCAGCCAATGTGCCTTCTTTCGATGAAAGCAAAAGTAAGGATGGGTACCTGGAATGTTCGTACAATGTACGAAACTGGAAAGGCTGCCCAGATAGCCGCCGAAATGAGAAGGTACAGAATAGACGTGTTGTGAATCTGCGAAGGCAGATGGAACGGAACTGGAAGGTGCCAACTACCTACTGGAGAGACAGTAATCGTTTCCGGCCACCCAGAGGACAACCACGAGCACATCGAGGGAGTGGCCATCATGATGTCACCAACAGCAACCAAAGCTCTCATGCAGAGGGAACCAATATTCTCCAGTTAATATATGTGTAAAACTTGGGCACTGTGGTATTAAGTAATTCCATATTAGTTTGATTATTAAATGTATCACACAGTGAAACAGTATTGTATACTGGATGACGTTTCGAACACAATTTATTGTTCATAATCATATCAATTTTTGTCACACGACTTCGAGATTTGATTTTTATAGTTTTCTCTGTCTTCTCCTATTTGTTGTATGGGCAGTAGAATTTTCCATATATCTGGGACAGGTGTTGAATCATTCCTATTACATGTATTTGCGGTTGATTCGATAAACAAAGCTTCTGTTATCAATCTCTCCCTATACCCTGTGACATTAGATTTTAAAACTGTCATCCTATCCCATCCTATTGTATGGTTGTGTGTAACTGCATGTAGTGCTATAGCTGAACTACTCTCTAGATTTCTTATCTTATTCGGGTCAACCAATCTAGATTTAGCTAGGTTTTTATGTTCGGCTAGTCTGACTGCCCCTGTTCTACTAGTTTGACCTATGTATTTGACCTCACAATCATTGCAGGGTATTAGATAAACTAAATTGTTTTGTTTTAATGGCTCTACAGGATCCTTTAACCGACAAAGCTTGTTTCTAATTGAGTTTGTGGGTTTGAATGCCACTTTTATTCCTGCCTTGTTAAGAATTCTGCGTAAGGCTTCCGAGGTTCCTTCTTTGTATGGAATTATTGTTGATGATTTACATTCCTTATTGTTGGTGTCGTTATTAATATTATTATTATTATCACTATTATTATTACCATTATTATTATTATTGTTATTATTATTATTGTTATCATTATTATTATTATTATCACTATCTCAGTGATAGAGATAGAGATAGTGATAATAATAATAATAATGATAACAATAATAATAATAACAATAATAATAATAATGGTAATAATAATAGTGATAATAATAATAATATTAATAACGACACCAACAATAAGGAATGTAAATCATCAACAATAATTCCATACAAAGAAGGAACCTCGGAAGCCTTACGCAGAATTCTTAACAAGGCAGGAATAAAAGTGGCATTCAAACCCACAAACTCAATTAGAAACAAGCTTTGTCGGTTAAAGGATCCTGTAGAGCCATTAAAACAAAACAATTTAGTTTATCTAATACCCTGCAATGATTGTGAGGTCAAATACATAGGTCAAACTAGTAGAACAGGGGCAGTCAGACTAGCCGAACATAAAAACCTAGCTAAATCTAGATTGGTTGACCCGAATAAGATAAGAAATCTAGAGAGTAGTTCAGCTATAGCACTACATGCAGTTACACACAACCATACAATAGGATGGGATAGGATGACAGTTTTAAAATCTAATGTCACAGGGTATAGGGAGAGATTGATAACAGAAGCTTTGTTTATCGAATCAACCGCAAATACATGTAATAGGAATGATTCAACACCTGTCCCAGATATATGGAAAATTCTACTGCCCATACAACAAATAGGAGAAGACAGAGAAAACTATAAAAATCAAATCTCGAAGTCGTGTGACAAAAATT